AGAGTCATGCTCCACAGACTAAGCCAGCCATGTGATGCAATTTAAACATTCTTTACCACATATTAGTGAAATTTAGTTTCATTCTTTGTATGCTAATGATTTCAAATCTATCCTGTTCTCGCCTTTTTTGTCTATTCAAAATTTAACCAGAATATTCTGTCATTCTCGAGGCCAAGTTTCAGGGGATGGGAGGGAAGGGAGATTCTAAGGCAGGCATCTCTATTCTGCCTTTAGGCATTTGTAACCTAATTCAGACCACCGTCTCTGACCTTTTAAATCCTCCATGATTCAGTACTTAAGCAGCACAGTAAGAAACAAGAAGTTGGGATGAGTCCTCCATAACACAATTCCTTACCTTCCAAGAAGATATCCTCAAGGGATTCCAGGACTTTAGCAAAGATCCTGGAAAGTGTTAGAGGGAAAAGTTAGAAACCCTTTGAGTGGGAGAGGATCTCAGAGACTTGCTATTCCATACCTTTGTTATATAGTTTGTGTCCCTGCAACCCCGGGAAGAGTAGTGGCTGCCATTTATGGGGCATCTATGTGATTTACACAAATTCTCATTTCCTCTGTAGGCTAACTGGTAAGGCTGGAGTCATTATCCTCACATTACATATTAGAAAACCGGGACTGAGAGAGGCTATGGAAATTGCTCAGAATCACACAACTAGTAAGTGAGGGAGCCCAGGTTTGATTTCAAGTTAGACTCCTAAGCCACCCGCTCCACTCCTCATTGCCACTTACTAAGGATCACATGGGAACTTAGTAGCAAAACAAGGATTAGAACCAAGGTCTAGACCCCCAGTCTGACCCTTCTACTGTCTTCTGCTCTAGGTTTATAGGATAATTTCAGGAATCCAACAGAAAATTGGGCAAAGGCATAAAATAGCAATTTACGTAAGGAAAACAAAAAAAGTGTACCAATACATGGAATAAAAAGATAGCCTTACCAGTGATTAAATAAATACAAGTAACTGATAAGTAGTTATTTTTCCCCTCAACCTAATAGCTCCCAGTGTTAATGAGATTGTGGTAAAATGATTTTCCGCCAATGGTGGTGTAAGATGGAGGAACCTTTGCAAAGCCTTGTGACATGCATATCAGGGGCCCTAAAATGGTCACAACCTTCAACCCTATACTTTGGTTTCTGCAAATTATTCAAAGAAGCAATCGAACGGGAAAAAGAAAAAAAGGACCCTAGATGCACAAACATGTTCATTGCAGTGTTGTCTATAATTGTATTTAAAAATTATACAAATAAAAATAAACAATATAAATATTCTTTATTTTGAGCCATAGAGAACCAATTAGATATTATTTTGATTATTTCGAACCATAGAGAAGCAATTAGATAATGTTATATGGACTCAGCATATGGTATTGTGGAACCATTTAGAAGAATTCCTGGGAGTGTGAGGTAGTATGGAAATATTTATGCTATTATGATGCGAGCTAGAAGATAGTAGGATACAGGCATATTATCTATCTGTGAAAATGTATTTTGCATATCGACAGAACTGAAAGGTAGCATACAAAAAAAATGCTCTTGCATTTAGGGGCATTATGGGTAACTTTTTTTCTTTTTCAAAGGTTTTTTGTTTTTTTGGTTTTTGTTTTTAATGTTGATGTCATATTCCTTCTACTGTTTAGAAGAATGAGGTACAGCAACCCGTACAGGAAGTCCAGGCTCTGGACTGAGCGGTAAAGGACCTGAGTCTGCTTCTTTTTTCCCCAACCTGGCATGCATTATTGGCCTTCAAAAACCTCAACCTCTCAGTCTACACAATGGGTTATCGTTAGTTTCCTTTCTGCCAGATGGACGGAATGTTTATTTTATAAATCTTTGGACTCACTGAATGCAAGGGCTCCCATAAATATCGTAGGAGGGAGAGGAAGAGAGATATAGGCACTAACTAATTTTAAAAGGAAAGATCACCAGCTTTAATCGGAAACGCGGTTGGGCTGTGCCCCCAGCCGGAGTTTTAGGTGTGCTCCATGCTAGTTAGCAACTTCAGCTGAAAGTGGTACCGTGGGATCCTCCAGGCCTTGAAGATATGAAGCCTACATACGCATGCACGCACGCACGCACGCACGCACGCACGCACGCTAAAATTACCACGTAGTCACGAGGCTGTGTGCGCCGCGAATCATTAAATGCACGAAGCAACCCCAGCTGATGGGTTGACGATGCGTAAGGGTAGCGCGGAAACCACGTGACGGGGAAATGACAGGACGTTTGGAAATGATGGTTTCATTTCCCAGCTTTCTTTTCAGCTGGCGCTTTCTCTTTCAGCCATTACAGGCGAGCAAAAGAGGTTTGATTATCTTGTTTCCCGTGAAAGGTTATTTAGCTCCTCAATCCCATTAAGTCACTTTCTGCCCTCCAGTGCACCCAGGCTTCACCAGGTTATCAGCCCAGGAAGAGTAAATGGAAACACCAGGATCAGATTTCTAAGGGAAGGAAAGTTAAAGCAAAGTTTGAAAGGGGTGACAGCCAACAGCCAGGAGCTTAGGAACTCAATTAGACTGAAAGACAACTATCTCATTATCTCGTTCCGAAATGATCTAAATACATAAGAATCTAAAAGTTTTAAATAAACTTGTCCTCTTGACTGTCTAGATGACTGAATTTCCCTTCTCAAAAAAATTTTAAACACCCACTTTCGTATTTATTTATTCTAAGTGCAGAGCAGCTGTGATAATTATGCTGTCAGATTCAGTAAGCTAATGAGGAGTCAGTCGAATGGAAGGTTTTGCATCTGTGAGATTGCTGCGGGAGAAAAGCTCTGCTGCCTTTTCCCTTCTCTCTTTTTCTTTCTTTCTTCCTTTTTTTTTTTTTTCTTATTTTTGTTTCTTTTTCTATGAGTCGGAAGGAGAGTCGGGCCTTCCGGGCCAAACTGGAATCCCTTTGATTAACTGGTTGCTTTCCCAACACTGTTCCACTAGAGAATTTCTCCCTTTTTTCCCTCTCCCTCTCTCTCTATCTCCCCCACTCCTTCTCTCTCCTGCTTTCCCACTCCCTCTCTCTCTCCTCCCCTTTTCCCCTCTTTTCTCCCTCCCTCTCTGTCTCTCATTCTGTCCCCACCACCCAAATTCCCTTCTTTCTCTCTTTTCTTTCTTCCCCTTCTCTCTTCTCTTTTTCTCTGCCTTCAGTTCCTCCTCCTCCTCCTTCCTCTTCCTCTCCCCTTCTTCCCCACGCCCCCCACACACACCCTTTTCCCCTCCTTCCTTCTCCCTCTCTCCCTCCTCCCTGGCTTTTGAGGTGCTGCTGCTTTTGAGGGACAAGGAGGCCTGAGGGAAATCTTCCTGCCACTGCCCCCCAAGGCAAGAGGACCCCTCTCCCTGAGGGAAATTCCCAAACTGGTTTGGGTTTGAGTTGATCTGAGAGTGGTCTGTGAAGTTTACACACTATTTACTTTAGCTGTTTATTTATGCTATGACATGAGCGAGAAAAAAGTAGAATACAAAATTATAATGTACCTGTGAAAATGTATTATGCACACCAACAAAACTTGATGCCTCCCCTTTAAAGCCCAGCAAACGTGTAATTCCAAACCCAAGGACTCCAGGCCCCAGACTCCTCATGGCGTCCAAGGTAGGTGTCCAGGTCAAGGAAGACAGAGATGGCCCTGCTGGTTTGTTTCTTCTCTTCGGGTGTGAGCAGCCTCCAGCTAACAATATTATGAAAGTATCTTGTGCTTTTGGTGTGCCAAAGCTGGACGCTTCTTTTCCTGTCCCGTTGTGCGATTTGTAGAGCGCTCCCGGTTGGTGCAGATTGTGAGCCTTGGAAAAGCAATGCCCAAATGAAAAGAAGTCCTCAGTAGGTTTGCAGACGAGCTTTGGTGACAATGTGGCTGTTTTTCCCAGATGGCATCAATGCGAATGGCTTGGAACAAAGGCTACGAGTTACTAAAATATATTGTGTGTCAAGAGCAACCCAAGATGTTTTGAATATATTATCTTCTTTAAACTTACAGCAATCTGTGGGAAGTTCTACTATCCCCATTTCGCAGATGAGCTCCTTAAAACATTAACTTTGGGAGAGCTTGACCTATAATTTTAGTGTAGTAAGCACCCAGCAACAACACACACTTAAACACAGGCATCTATAAAAATACAAACTGCCAACATACAGAGCTAAATACATAATTCAGAGGGCAAAGGTAGTGTGTTATGTATATGTGTGTTTTTTAATTTACAAATGTTTTTTAATTTACAAAATTTACAAAATGTTTTTTAATTTACAAAAGTTACACTATAGTGTCTATTTAGATAGATTGCCTAATGTAAATAATGCACCAGGATTTAACATTTTCCAAGACACATCTAGCCCCAGAATAATGCTCAGTGTCTGCCCTCACTGGGACTCATGTCCAGACTCCTGGGCTTGACATTTACTCCCTCCACCATCTGGCTCCAACTCATTTTTCCAGCTGCATCTACTAGTCTGTCTTGCTCTAACCGTGCAAGATGACTTTCCAGTTCCCTCAGACACTTTTCTTCCCCCTTGCCTTTGCTCAAGCCGACCCCACCCCCCCGCCAGCAATATCCTCCCTGGAATTTCTGGACCGTTGAAGGTACAGTCTTCCTTCCCAGCTGAAATGGCACTTGTCCATGCTCTTCTGGCGCTCCATGGAAACGCTGGGACAGAGTCTGTCATAAGTCTTTCCTTGTCCCTCACTTTCGGCCCTCGTTTGTTTGTGTGCATGTCCCCAAACCTATTCCTGTTTTTGGATCCTCAACACCTAGCGTAACACTCTACCAAAGTGCTCGTTTGGTAAATATGTGTTGAGTTGAATTGAGTTAAGAGGCACTTGACAAGTATTAGTAGATTCAGTAAAGCGAATTATCCATGAGTCAGTATAAATTGTTGGTGGGTAAGTCTGCTTCATGTTATGATGTCTCTTCAGGTGACAGATATCACAACAGACAGAAAAAAACACGACACAAAACGTTCCAGGAAATAATATGTTGGTGCTTTTCTCTTTTCCTCCCTACAGAGGAGTCTTTGTTTACAGTTTCGGGAGTGAGGCTAAAGCCAGAAATGTGTGACCTTTTGGTCTCCTACCGGAAAGGTCACCACCCAGCCCAGGTTAGCAAATGCTGGTAAAGAGAGGGAGTGACATCACCGACATCCTTTTCAGGTAAGCGGTCCCAACGGTGAGTCGTCTTACGGACAGAACTGAAAATCCATTACGGCCGGATGGAGAGAACATGGCTCATAGATTCTGAGCGCCTCTGTTCTGTGTCTGGCCCTTTATTCCCCCTCTAGGGACAGGTGGCCTCTCCTCTTTGTGCTGCGAAGTGGGGATGGTAATGTGCCTCACCCGTCTCTCTCACTCCCAGAGGCCTATTAAGGTTCCTAAGACAAAACTTAGTGCATGTGCAATAAAGTACCACAAGGCATGTTGCATCCCCTTAACTCTGTAGCTCTCTCCAGCAGCTGATGGGACAAATCAGAGGTCAAACCCATCCCCATTTGCTCAAGACAGAGGAATGTCCTGGGATATGGGACATTCAGGGCTAAAACTGGCACAGCCTGGGGTAAACCAGGACACTTGGTCACCACAGTGGTGCAGATGGCTACCCAGTCTCCCTCAAATGCCAGAGAAGGCCTGCTTCAGGGCCTGGCCCCGTTCAGGAGATGGCTTTTGATGCCTGTGAGCATCTAGTCATCGCTGCTCCAGGCTTCTTAGGCTACCCCTGCACAGCTGGTCACAGGGAGTTCTCTCATTCCAGGTGAGTTCGGAGAACAACAAGGACCCCATGGGGAGCCATCTGCAATGTCTCAGACACAGCTACTCTCCTCGGTCAGCCCAAGATGACCCAGCCTTCCAAGGTAGTCTTAAGGAGGAAGGGTGCTATGGAGAATTTTTCTGAAACTAGCATATCCTAAAAGAAGTTCTGGTTGGCCCCGGAAGCCAGGTGGGACAACCCCAAAAGCCATTTTAAGTATAGACACCCCCAGATATTATAAGAGCACTTCCCAAACTTGGCCTTCCCAGTGGGGAGAGGGGACAGTAATCCAGACAGAGGAATCACGGTGGTTCCCACACACAAAGCCAGCCAGCCAGTGGGCCCTGTAAGTGGCCCGGGCTCTATCCCGAGCCACGAAATTTGACCACCCCTTAGGCAACCACAACCACGCTTCCTGACCGAACTTTTGAGGCCTGGATGGTAACCAGGGACATGCCCCCCACACCTGCCCCCTCGTAACCTCATTTACATGGCAGGATTCAGCTCTTTGCCTGGAGCTCTCTTTGACTGTTGATATTTCAAGGTGTATACCTATCAGAGATGTTCGTCTTCTGGATTTCCTAAGATCATTTTATTTAGAAATCTGGAGAGGTCCGGGAAGTTTAGAATTTTATAGCTGCTCCTTGGGGCATTGTATGCAATACCCAGGTTTGTATTTTGATAATACGCCATTGGAATCACAACAGGCAACACAATAATGTGGTATTTCCCAAGCACTGTATTTCCTAAAGCAGAGATTTTACTGGGTAATGATGTCATTTTAAACCATCTAGTTATGAGACTACGATGTGCCTTCACCACATTCTATAAAGGGAGGATTTGCCCTTCATAAAATTATTGAAAGGGCGCCTGGGTGGCTCAGTGGGTTAAAGCCTCTGCCTTTGGCTCAGGTCATGATCCCAGGGAGCCCCGAATCAGGCTCTCTGCTCAGCGGGGAACCTGCTTCCCCCACTCTCTCTGCTTGCCTCTCTGCCTACTTGTGATCTCTGTCTCTCTGTCAAATAAATAAAATCTTTAAAAAAAAATTATTGAAGACATTGATGGAAGTGGCCTCAGTTGGTGGTGTTCCATTAGCATTACTATTACTTCTAGTATTGTTATTACTTTATTTTACTAAGCAATCAGGAGATAGGGAGGTAACCCTGCCTCTCTGATCTTCTGACTTTCCACAAAGAATTATTACCTGTAGATATAAAATGGTCCCCATAGAAGGTCAATTAAATGCAGCATGTCAAACTCGGCGCCTGTGCCAGCAACTGAGAAAGGGAGGAGGCAGATTTTGCCTCTATTGGAGTCACTTCATGATGTCCCTGGGCCCTTGGTATTAATGTAAGGAGATAAAACCTGTAGGGGAGGAACCACAATAGGGAAAATCTAGAGCAATTAAACTGTTTAATAAATGATTTGGGATCAGCCAAATCTGGGTGTGCTGGAGTTAAGCAGACTAAAGGTAATCACATGGACACTTGGGGCCTGTAAATCTTTTCCACTAAATTGAATTTATGTTAAAATATTCACTTTCCAGGAGATTCAAAATGTAAATTGGGATATTAGGACTTGTAACTGACAGCAATGCCTCAAAACTAAAACTCTTATAAGATCCTCAAAATGTCAGTTTCAGGAATGGAAAAAGAAATGTATACTGATGTCCATTATGGAGAAACAGAGGGGAACTAAACTTTACTGGGCACATATTGGGCGCCCGGCACTTTACACATGTTATTTCAAAGCTTGGCATGTTTTGAACAATGGGGAATGGTACGGTACAAATGCAGTTTGTATATGTGGAGATCGCTTTTTATTATTTTTTTAAAGTCCTTTTGGTTCTTATTGCTGGGACAAGGTGCAGTCTGTTATAATTTATTATTACCTTTTCCATCTCTCTATATAATCCCATCAATAACTTTGCATTAAATGTTTAGCAGGTTTTCCTTACTCAGTCTGACTCATATATTTTGATTTTATTTGTTCTTCATTTGCTTTCAGGGCTACAATACTGCTGTTTCCGTTTTAATTTGCTCTGCCTTACTAAGAAGCTTCAAATCTAACTGCAGAATGGACCAGGGTTTTCATACCATCACCTGTGACCTGGAATATTGTGAATATGAGGTCTAAGGCCACGGACATGATACTTGAAGAAAAAGCAATGAATGATTATTGCTCTTGTCATTTGCCAAAATTGGCCATTGATTGGCTCAGAAATTAGACAACAGACTGAAATAGTCTGAGAAGGGGATTTCTGAATGATTTCATCTATTTTGTGATTTGAATGAGAGATCCCTGGGCCAGAAGGACCACAGGCCTGATGAAAGGCTAATTGATTAAAAGAATCTGGAGACAGAGCTGGGGCTTACAGGGGCCTGTCCCTCCTGTGTTCACTTACAATTTCCCCCAACAAAAGGACTTCTGTAGCAAGGAGAGGATTAGTCTAAAGTTCAGAAAAGTCTCAGGGAAGATGGTTTCTTGGATAAAGTTGTCAACAAAAGGACCTGCTGAAAACTCTTTGTTAAGATTTCCTAGAGGGCGCTTCTGGATTATCAAACGGGATTATCGAACCACATTACTACCCCAGGCCTGCTAGATTTTAGGAGTTTGGATTGAACCCCTGGTTAGATTTCAATTTTTGGCTGTTTCCTTCTACCGAATCCCAGGTATCGGTGATGATAGCAGAATCGAGGAGGAACCTAAGCTCTGATTCAATGGTGGAGAGACACTGAGTACATAGAGCAGAACACAGAGTTCCAAAGACGTCATTCAAGCCCCGCTGCACCATCAGACACACATGCGTGTGCACACACACAACCCTCAAATAAAATGAGAGATCGGTCTCAGCTAACACATGGATCGTTTTCCGCAACGACTCCTTCTAAAAGAAGCCAGAGAAACTCAAATTACTCACCTAGGGATCGGATCATCTACTCAGGAAATGTAGTAGTCTAGAAACCAGACATTTCTCTGTATCCTTTAGAAGAACAAGGAAGAGCTAATTAAGAAAGAATTAAAAAGTAATACCAGCGTACCCAAAGTCTGAGATGGGAAGAGGAAAAATGCATACAAATAGCCCAAAGAAATCTACCTTAGTATTGGATTTTAGTAAGGTATTTGACTAAACTTTTCCAAACACACCTGAAAGATGGAACTGTGTGGGCTGGATTATAAAGATATGTGTGCAGTGAATGTGCTTTTTCAACCTAGAGAAAAGCCAATTGTGGTAAAGGCTTAAGCCCCATTCTACAAAGATTAATACATATTTGTATTAATCACTTGAATAAAATCAGAGAAAGTACACAGTTTATTCATACAATTCTTTGAAGTATTATTTATTTATTACTTTCATTTTATAAAAGAGGAAGCTGAGACTCAAAGAAGTTACATAACTCGTCCATGGTGGTAAATCTGAGTTGAGGTACAGACCTCTTGTCTGACTGTCTCCAATGTGTATGATCTTTCCAGAAATCACACACCTATCAGATCTGTAGAATACACGGTTCTTCAAGATGCAACTGATATTTAACATTGGATCATGATTTGGAAGACTGAGACCTTGTTAAAACCTAACACCTAAAGGCACCTGGGTGGCTCAGTTGGAGCTTGCTCTCTCCCTCTGCCCCTCCCCCTGCTCATGCTGTGTGTCTCTTTCAAATAAATGAATAAAGTCTCTTTTTTTAAAGATTTTTTAATTTAATTTTATTTATTTATTTGACAGAGAGAGAGATCATAAGTAGGAAGAGAGGCAGGCAGAGAGAGAGATGGAAGCAGGCTCCCTGGTGAGCAGAGAGCCCGATGCAGGACTTGATCCCAGGACCCTGAGATCATGACCCGAGCCGAAGGCAGTGGCTTAGCCCACTGAGCCACCCAGGCAACCAATAAAATCTTTTTTAAAATTAATTTTTTTTAAAAAAGCTAATGCATATGTGTCACTCTATACCTATTAGGATGGCCAAGTTCCAGAACACTGACAAAACCAAATGCTGACAGGGATGTGGAGCAACAGGAACTCTCACTCATTGCTGGTAAGAAGGCAAAATGTTACAGCCACATTGGAAGATAGGTTGGCAGTTTCTTACAAAACTAAACATACTCTATCCATATGATCCTGCCATCATGCTCCTTGATATTTACACAAAGGAATTGAAAACATGTCCGCACAGAAACACACACACAGGTGTTTATTCATAATTGCCAAAACTGGGACACAACCACAATGTTCTCCAGTGACAGAGTAGATAAATAAACTGTGATACATCCACACAACAGATTATTCAGGGGAAAAAAAAAAAAAGAAAGCTATCAAGCTATGAAAAGACATGAAGGAGACTTAAATAAATATTACTAAGTGAAAGAAGCCAATTGAAAAGATTACATATTACATATTAGAGGCACCTGGGGTGGCTTAGTCAGTTAAGCATCTGCCTTCAGCTCAGGTCATGATCTCAGGGTCCTGGAATGAAGCCCCACATCAGGCTCCCTGCTCAGTGCAGAGTCTGTTTCTCCCTCTCCTGCCCCTCCAACCATTTGTGTTCTCTCTCTCTCAAATAAAATCTTCCCAAAAAAAAAAAAAAAAAGAGAGAGAGAGAGAGAGAGAGAGAGAGAGAAAGGAAAAGAAAAGACAACATACGATACAATTACAACTATATGACATTCTGGAAAAGTCAAAACTATGAATATAGTAAAAACATCACGGGTTAAGGAGTCCAAGATGGCAGAGGAGTAGGTGACCTTAATTTTGTTCGGTTCCAGGAATCCAGCTAGATAAGATGTCAAATCATTCTGAACACCTGCCAACAGAACCCTAGATCTGAGAAAAGAATCACTACAATTCTACATAGAAAAGTGACCACTTTCTGGAAGGTAGGATGTGTGGAGAAGTGAATCCAAGGCAATATTTGGGAAGATAGACTGAAGGGGGAGGGAGCCTCCATCAGCCAGCTTCCAACAAGTGATAGAGCAACAGAACACAAAATTGGAACTTACAGAAGTCTGGTCTGATAAGAGACATCACTTAGGTGGCTAAGCAGGGGTGGAGCCCTCCCTGGGACAGTGTGGTCTCAGGACCCTCGGGTCATAGGAGGATTGAGGGTGCCTGACTGCAGCAGAGCTCCCAGGTATCAGAGCAGGGAAGCCAGTGGCAAAGAGTGAGCCAGGGAGTGGCCTCTCAGCTCTGGGTTGTCATAAACCGTGATCTACTACACAGTTGGGCCACTACACTTCAAGCAGGGACCCAACGAGTGGCAGATCCGGGGAGACACCCCTTCTTCCCCAGGGAGGAGTGGCACAGTAGTGCACCACAGGGATCTGCTGGGTTTGAAGATTCAAGAATTATAAGAACATATTATAAGAAACTATATGCCAAAAAAAATAGGCAATCTAGAAGAAATGGATGCATTCCTAGAGATGTATAAACTACCAAAACTGAACCAGGAAGAAATAGAAAACCTGAACAGACCCATAGCCAGAAAGGAAATTTAAGCAGTCATAAAAAATCTCCCAACAAACAAGAGCCCAGGGCTAGATGGCTTCCCAGGGGAATTCTACCAAACATTTAAAGAATTAATACCTATTTTTCTGAAGCTATTTCCAAAAAATATAAATGGAAGGAAAACTTCCAAACTCTTTCTCTGAGGCCAGCATTACCTTGATCTCAAACCCTGAAAAAGACCCCACCAAAAAGGAGAACTAAAGACCAATAGCCCTGATGAACATGGATGTAAAAATTCTCACCAAGATACTAACCAATAGAATCCAATGGTATAGTAAAAGGATTATTCACCATGACAAACTGGGATTTATTCCTGGGCTCCAAAGTTGGTTCAACATTCACAAATCAATCAATGTGATATATCATGTAAATAAAAGAAAGGACAAGAACAATATGATACTCTCAATAGATGCAGAAAAAACATTTGAGAAAGTACAGCATGCTTTCTTGATTAAAACTCTTCAAAATATAGGGATAGAGGGAACATACCTCTATATCATAAAAGACATCTATGAAAAGTGCACAGCAAATATCATTCTCAATGGGGAAAAACCAAAAGCTTTTCCTCTAAGGTCAAGAACACTGCAGGGATGTCCACTATCACCACTGCTGTTCAACATAGTACTAGAAGTTCCTACCGTCAGCAATCAGGCAACAAAAATAAATAAATAGCATTGGAATTGGCAAAGAAGAAGTCATACTCTCACTCTTGGCAGATGAAAGGATACTCTATGTGGAAAACCCAAAAGACTCCACTCTAAAACTGCTAGAACTCATACATGAATTCAGTAAAGTGGCAGGATATAAAATCAATGCACAGAAATCAATTGCATTTCTCTACACCAACAGCAAGAGAGAAGAAAGAGAAATTAAGGAGTCAATCCCATTTACAATTAACCAAAGAGGCAAAGAATCTGTACTCAGAAAACTATGAAGTACTGATGAAAAAATTAAAGAAGACACAAAGAAATGGAAAAATGTTCCATGCTCATGGATTGGAAGAACAAATATTGTGAAAATGTCTATGCTACCTAAAGCAATTTACACATTTAATGCAATCCCTATCAAAATACCATTAATTTTTTTCAAAGAAATGGAACAAATAATCCTAAAATTTATATGGAACTGGAAAGAGCCCGAATAGCCAGAGAATATTGAAAAAGAAAACCAAAGTTTGTGACATCACAATTCCAGACTTCAAGCACTATTACAAACCTGTAATCATCGAGACAGTATGGTACTGACACAATAACAGACACATAGATCAATGAACAGAATAGAGAGCCCAGAAATGGACCCTCAACTCTATGGTCAACTAATCTTCGACAAAGCAGGAAAGAATGCCCAATGGAAAAAAATTAGTCTCTTGAACAAATGGTGTTGGGAAAATTGGACACCCACATGCAGAAGAATGAAATTGGATTATTTCTTTACACGACACATGAAAATAGACTCAAAATGGATGAAAGACCTCATTGTGAGACAGGAATCCATCAAAATCCTTGAGCGGAACACAGGCAACAACCTCTTCGACCTCAGCCATAGCAACTTCTTCCTAGAAACATCACCAAAGGCAAGGGAAGCAAGGGCAAAAATGAGCTATTGGGACTTCATCAAGATCCAAAGCTTTTGCACAGCCAAGGAAACAGTCAACAAAACCAAAAGACAACTGACAGAATGGGAGAAGATATTCGCAAATGACATATCAGATAAAGGGCTAGTATTCAAAATCTATAAAGAACTTATCAAAGTCAACACCCAAAGAATAAATAATCCAATCAAGAAATGGGCAGAGGACATGAACAGACATTTCTGCAAAGAAGACATCCAGATGGCCAACAGACACATGAAAAGTGCTCAACATCCCTCGGCATCAGGGAAATACAAATCAAAACCACAGTGAGACACCACCTCACACCAGTCAGAATGGCTAAAATTAACAACTCAGAAAATGACAGGTGTTGGCAAGGATCAGAGAAAGGGAGCCCTCGTACGCTGTTGGTGGGAATGCAAGCAGTACAGACACTCTAGGATACAGTATGGAGGTTCCTCAAAAAGTTGAAAAGAGAGCTACCCTACAACCCAGCAATCACACTACTGGGTTTTTAAGATACAAAT